TTCCTTCCTTCCTTCCTTCCTTCCTTCCTTCCTTCCTTCCTTCCTTCCTTCCTTCCTTCCTTCCTTCCTTCTTTCCTTCCTTCTTTTCCTCCCTCTCTCCCTCTCCCTTTCCTTCTTCCTCCCTTTTCTCCCTCCCCTGGCCTCCTTCTTCCCTTTTTCCGTCCCCCACCCCCACCCCCAGGGCTTGAACTCAGTAACTGAGTGTTGTCTTTGAGCTTTTTTGCTCAAAGCTAGCACTCTACCACTTGAGCCACAGTTCCACTTCTGGCTTTTTGGTAGTTAATTGGAGATGAGTATTTCACAAATTTTTCTATCTACGCTGGCTTACAGCCTAGAAGGCAGACCCTGATGAACATGGTCCAGTCGCTTCTCAAAAGCTCAACTCTAAAAAATAATGGAAGGAGTGGCATTGATCAAGACCCATTGTATTCATAAACTGGCATATTAAATTAAAGCCCCTTTGTACAAGTATTTGAAGATAATAATATGTTTTTAAAGCCACAGTTCTAAATACTGTTTCAATACACTTTTTGTGGAAATCTTTATATCCAAATTATAACAGCTGTTTTTTTTTTAATTTTCTCAGCCTATTTATATCATGATTTGATAGTTACAAATATCCCAAGAGTTAGGACAGTTATTAGTATTTGCATTTAATAGATAAACAATTAGGGTTCAAGAGACAGACTAAACTTACAAGAGTTGCTTACGACAACTTTGTCATTTAATTAAGAGACTGTGTCCTCTAGTCCCTTATATAGTGATTTTTCTACTAAACAGTACTGTCTTTTCAAGTAGAAAATGTGCTGAATTACGTTAGTCATTTACTGAAATTCATGTATGGAGCCAGACCTATTTATTTAAAACGATCAGTTAGAGAGTACTATATTGTTCCTTAGCATTTTTCCTTATTATGCAATAGATTGAAAAGAGAAAAGGGGACAAAGTGTAAATTGAACAGTTTTAATAATAATCTTAAATGAAAGTTTGTGTAAGTCACTATATAGAACATTTCAGGGTTACCTACCTTCTGTTTTCCTCTAATGTCTGTTCCTAATCAAACCTCAAAGGAAACATGCTTCTAACCTTTTTTATGTATTTTCATCATATATTTTAATAGTTTTCATATAGTTCTGTTACTGTTTTATAAGTGGAGTATTCATTTGAACCTTGTACTACCTTCTTTCATCTCACTTTTTTTTTCCCCGTTGGGATACTTTTCTTCTGTCTTTGGGAAGTCCTTCACTGAATAGGTAGGAATAAATCCTCCAATACTTGCATGTCTGAAAAGGTCTTCATTTTATCCTGTTTTGAGTTCTAGTGATAGAATTCCAAGGACCTTAAGGATATCCCACTGAGAAGTAGCAGTGCTCTTTTGATGGCTTTCTCCACTTTTCCCTTTCTTTAAAATTTCCTTTGAAGAATGATGAAGTACAAACAATACTGGAATACATGGTATCTATGATTTGCTTTACAGCCTATATGATCTATTTTAGAGGAAGTTACTGCAAAAATGCATAGTTTGCAGTTGTTGGATGGAACATTCTGTGATACCTGTTAGATCTATTTTGTGGTTTAACACTGAAGTTCCTTTGTTGACTTTTTTGTTCAGAGTTCTGTTTTTGAGAATTAAGTATTGAAATCACCTACTGTTGTACTAAGTACTGCACACACACATATAAACACGCACGCATGCTTACACAGTCTTTTTGTTGATACTGATGTTGGAACTCAGGGCTTTGTTTTCTACAACTTAAACCACATGCTCAGCATTTATGGTATCTTTCTGATGTATTTCCACTGTGTAGTCTATTAATGACTAATATTGACTTGAAACCTTTTTCAGATGTGAGAAAACATATCTGCTTGCTTACATGTTCTGTTTGCTTGAAACACCATTTTCCATCCTTTTGTTTTCAATCTGTGTATGTCTTTGCCAGTGAGATGTGTTTCTTGTAGGCCAAAAAAAAAAAAAAAAACTTGGATCTTGTAGGGTTTTTTTTTGGCGGGGGAGGGGGGTAACTTTGTTGTTGTTGTTTTGAGTGCTGGTCGTGGGGCTTGAACTCAGGGCCTGGATGCTATCCCTGAGCTTTTGTGCTCAAGGCTAGTACTCTACCATTTGAGCCACAGCTCTACTTCTACTTCAAGCTTTTTGTTGTTGTTGTTTTTTGTTTTGTTGTGGTTGTTGTTATAGCTTATTGGTTATAAGAATCTCAGAGACTTTTTTGCCTAGGCTGGCTTTGAACCACAATCCTTAGAACTCAGCCTCCTAGCCGGGCGCTGGTGGCTCACGCCTGTAATCCTAGCTACTCAGGAGGCTGAGATCTGAGGATCTCGGTTCAAAGCCAGCCGGGGCAGGAGAGACCGTGAGACTCCGATCTCCAATAAACCACCAGAAAGCCGGAAGTGGCGCTGTAGCTCAAGTGGTAGAGCGCTCGCCTTGAGCTGAAGAGCTGAGGGACAGCGCCCAGGCCCAGAGTTCAATCCCCATGGCCGACAAAAAAAAAAAAAAAAGAACTCAGCCTCCTAAGTAGCTAAGATTATAGGCATGAGCCATCCATGCCCAGTTGGATCTTGTTTGTAATCCAGTCTACCACACTGTTCTTTTCATTGGAGAATTTGGACCATTTACATTTATGGCAAGAATGTAAAAGTGTTATGTATCAATTGATATTTGATTTGTTCATAATTCTCATTTGCTTATCTACACTTCTAGTCAGATTTGTTCTTTCCTTTTGTGGTTGTGTTTTAACTTCTTCTCCTGTAGAATTCCTTTTAGTATCTTCCATAGTTCTAGCTTAGTGGTCCTTTAGTTTATGTTTGTGGTAGAAGGTCTTTATTTCTCCTTCAATTCTGAAGGGTCACCACTGGATATAGTAACCTAGGTTTACAGTTATTTTCTTGAAATATAGCATTTTAAGATCACTTGGCCTTTCTGTTGAGAAATTGGCTTTTATTCACATGGACTTGCTCTTATAAATGGCTTGATTGTTTCCCTTTTGTAGCATTTCTATATTCTTTGTTCTGTGCTCATGGCATTTTAACCATAATATATAAGGGAGTGGTTCTTTTCTAATCATGTTTATTTGGAGTTCTAAGTATCATTTATACCTGGATATTTCCTAAGATTTAGGGGATTTTCTACTATTTTACCCCACGAGTTTTCTGTTCCTGTAGTATATATCTTATTGCCTTATTCGACACAGAATATATATATATATATATATATATATATATTCTTTTAATCATGTTCCAAGGGTCTTGCATGACATCTTTCTTCTTATTACTGTCTGAATGTTGTAATTCATTAACCTTATTTTCTGGAAAGTTTTTCTTTTTGCTTATGTGGTGCTGGGGAATCGAACCTAGGGCCTCATGCATGCAAGGCAAGCGCTCTACCACTGAGCCACCTTCCCAGCCCTTGAACACATATTCTTTTAATGTGTGTTTCTCCCACAAAGAACTATTTTTACCATTGTGACAGAAATTTGGGAATAGTTTTTAACTAAGTAGAAGTAGTCAAGCAATCATTTTTAAAGTATATGTTCCAAAATATACCTACATAAAATAATAGTATGTTTGCTTTAAATTAGAATTTTATTCTTCAAGGACTTCCTTTCCTGATTTTTTTCTTCCTTACATTCTGCCTTCCTCTTAGCTAATGTTATTACTGTTGATTGATTTGTGTGGGTGGGTGGGGTGGGGGTGGGGCCGGCGGTCCTGAGGCTTGATATCAGAATTGGGGCACTGCCCCTAAGCTTACTGATTTTTTTTTTTTGTCAGTCATGGGGGCTGAACTCTGGGCCTGGGCACTGTCCCTCAGCTCTTCAGCTCAAGGCTAGTACCCTAACACTTGCGCCACGGCACCACTTCTGGCTTTTTCCTGCTTATGTAGTGCCGAGCAATAGAGCCCAGAGCCTCATGCATGCAAGGCAAGCACTCTACCACTGAGCCAACTTCTCAGACTTTTACTAATTGATTTTTAATTTTTAATGTTTCTAGTTCAAGTTCAATTACTATTTTTTTATCAGTTTATTAGTTTAGAAAATTCCATGTGAAGCCAAATATCCCAAGTTTAGGTGAAAGAATTTAGGAATGTTTTAAGAACTAGAAAGGGGGAAGGGAAATACCTAAA